CTTCTTTCCTTTCCTCCCCCATCCTCACCTATTCTCCCCCACCCACATTCTCTTGCTCTCTTTCTTTCTTTCTTGCTCAATCGTTTACTCTATCTTATTTCTTTATTTTGTATTCGCTTGTTTTCCACCTATTTACCTGTATAGGTTCGAGTGTTTGGACTTAGTTTAGTCATAAGAAGGAACTCACCATTGGCGGTATCCTCGCCACCGTGGAGGTTGATGTTATCTCGATAACTTTAAGACGTTGGACGTTCTACGTTGCGCGATGAAAGAGAAGGTAAACGCGGAATGACAGTAAAAAAAAAAAAAAGGATAAAGATAGCAAAAAAAATGAGTAACGAAGAGAGGGTAAGAGAGAAAGGGTTGTATAGAGTAGTAAAAGACAGAAAGATAAACGAATAGGTAGGAAGGGGTTAGGAACGGAATCAAAGAAGGGATGAGCTATCACTGTCGTAGTAGAGGGGTGTGAGATCACGGTACCCACCCTTCCCGAACGCAAATAATTCGTAAGTGGTCACTTGTGAAACAATAAGAGGTAACCCTATCTAACGATCAACGTCGTATAATAGAATCTAAAACACCTGACAATTCACTGATAGAATACTTATAAAATTAAAGATTACGCGTCTGAAATTTCCGATATTTCGCGCGAAATCCTCGCGGACGACGTAGCCATGGATACTGCAGGATCGGGTAAAAGAGGCGACTGCCCCGTTACCCACTACCCCTTCTTCTACGAATGCGCGCCCCTCGACCGAAAATGTCAATATCCTCTCTCGCTGCGCCCGCGATGCGCTCCATGTTACTCTGAACAGCCCTGTATGCGTTTTCCTATTCCCCTTCCCTTTCCTTCTCACAACCCCGACGACTCCGCCCCCTCGGCCCCCTTCACCTGTTCCTTCATTCTCCCGATTTTTTTCTCTCTTGTCACCTCTATCCCTTCCCAACAAAATCTTCCTCTTTTTATATCTCTCTAAATTTGCTTGTTTTTCACTCTTCTTTTCTTAGTTAGTCTGTTTGTCAATTACGTTTCTCCCCACTTTGTCCTATTAGCAAGTAAGCAGGGATGTCACAGAAGGATCAACATTTTTTTTACAAAAATTTAGAATTTACATCTTACTTCCTTTTTCTTTCACTCTATTATCCTATACACTTTTCTGTTAAAAATCCTTACTCTCATCACTTTTATTTGTTTTTACATTTGATTGATTTTATTGGATCAACTACTCAATTATTTGGTAAACTCACCGTGAAACAAATGCAGGGTGATCGCTGTCACCGTCGTTGTCGTCGTCGCCGTCGTCGTCGTCGCCGTCGTCGTCGTCGTCGTCGTCGTCGTCGTCGTCGCCGTCGTCGTCGTCGTCGTCGCCGTCGTCGTCGTCGCCGTCGTCGTCGTCGTCGCCGTCGTCGCCGTCGTAGTCGCTGTCGTGCCGATATACCAAGGTGTAACCATAGTGATTAGCGATCGATAACAGGCATGCGCATTGTCAAATTTACTCGTAAAACGAAAGAACCATCCTCGTTTCATTCTCTCGTATCAAATGATTCATTACTAATAAAGATTAACGAAACTACATTTCTGATGATTTTTGCGCTATATACACATACATACGCATTACTCACAGATAGGCATTACAGATATTTACCAATTAATTAAACATATTTGATAACATTAATTCAAATATATAAGAGATAAACATTTAAACATTTGATTCAACGATAATGTATGCCTATGATACACATATACACAACTATAAAATCATATGCTTAGTTTTTAAACTTACAAAAAATATAATGAAAACATAAAATATAATGCCATAAGCATATTTAAGAATAGAATAAAATATTAATATTATACGTCGTCGGTTATCGTTATACTGTACTTACCAAATAATTTTTTTCTTGTTTTAATAAACTTGAGTTCACAAACTTTGCTTGTTTCAACGTAACGCATTATACGTGACATCTGTAACAACAAAACTCTTTATTAGTAAATATGTTATTTTATACTAAATCGTGCAGTAAAAATAAACTTAAAATGCGGTATAAATTAATTATAGAAAGAAAGATTTGAACTCATTTTTTTCCAATTTATTGTTTTCGATAACCTGAAACATTTAAAATAGTTCTTGTCAGAAGGAAGTTATAATGATTTCATAACGCGGTACAATTCAATTTTATATATCAGACAATAGAAATAAAAATATTTAAACGACACATTAGAGCAAGTCTATTCTTCCTTACTTGTAGTCACTTTATCTCGCACATTAAATATTACTAATGTTTTACACATATACTTACATACATATATTAAAGTATCAGAAAAAAGAAGATATGCAACATTAGCATTCAATTCATGTTGGATATATCGAGAAATTAATGTCTGACGATTTTCTTGTGAAAAAATGCATAAAATACATTTGTTAAATTATCAATTTCAATAACATCATGTATGAGCTTATGTTGACAAATTTTAAAAGAGATTTTTAATAGTGCTACGAGACAAATTAACAGAATCGTTTGAACGTAACCTATTTTTTAAATTTCACATTGTTCAGTGTTCAATTGAAATCAGTTTAGAACAATGTTAAAGAGAATAACATTAAATTTTAAATCAAATATTGAAAGCATTCATTCACGTTTTTTTAGTAATCTGTCATTAAAATGTAAAGAGAATATTGAGGACAAAATGCAAGCTTGGCAAATTCATTCATATGGTGGTTTAGAAGAGTTAAAACTTTCAACTATCAGAATTCCAGTAATCGCTAGACCAACAGATATTCTTGTGAAAGTTGAAGCATCTAGCGTAAATCCTATAGATATTGCTATGACAAGTATACAATATATTATGCTAATTATATATTCTTTGCAACTTAAATATTAAACATTTAACACCATTATTGAATTTTTTTGTATTAGGAGGATATGGTGCTGTAATTCTAAATTTAAAGAGAAAAGCAAGAAATATTACTAGTGGACAATATGATGAATTAGAATTACCATTAACTTTAGGAAGAGATTTTTCAGGTATAATAGTTTCGAAAGGACACAGTGTTGGAGAAAAATTAAATTTGGGTGATAAAGTGTGGGGTGTGGTCCCTGTGGAACAACAAGGTTGTCATGCTGGTTATGTAGTTGTTGATAATACGTTGGCAAGTAATAGATTAATTAGTAAATATTAGAATAGATAACAATAAAACATGTAAAATATAAATCAAAATGATATTCATTCATTTTTAGGTCAGTCCAAGACCTACAAATTTATCATATATAGAGTCTGCAAGCATATTATATGCAGGTCTCACAGCATGGTCTGCACTGTGGATTACAGGTGCATTATGCTATAAAACCTCATTATCCATGAGAAGAAGTAACAGAGTTCTTGTATTAGGTGGTTCAGGAGGTGTAGGAACATTGGCGATACAACTTTTAAAAGCTTGGAACATGCATGTATGCCATTTATGCTTATGATAAGACTTATTACTCCTATTCAATATAAAACAAAATCAAACTGATCTAGGTTATTACTACGTGCAGTAGTGATGCTGTAAATTTAATACAAAAACTAGGAGCTGATGTTGTAATTGATTATAAATTAGATGATGTTGATTCAAAAATTATAGCAGAGGGACCGTATGTAATTCACTTATTAACTTTCTTTGTATACAAAATCTACCTATGATATAAATTTTATTGATTTCCAATTTAGTTATAATATAATTTTGGATTGCGCTAATCAGGGACCAGATCAAATACGATTAAAAGGTTACCCTCACTGTACTTATATCACTTTGAATTCTCCATTACTAAGAAATACTGATCAACATGGATTGATTGTGGGTACAGTAAAAAATGTAGGAGAACTGGTGAAACATAACATGTCAATCATTGAAAATAAAAGTACAGTGAAGTGGGGATTTTTTACACCTTCCAAAACAGGAATCAAAACACTTAAAGAATTTGTTGAAAGTGGAAAGGTAGTATCTATGTTTCTATGTAGTTTCAATTCTTTTTAAAAAAAAGCTTGTATATTATTTCTTTTCCATTCTCAGGTGGTTCCTGTGGTTAAAAAAGTATATCAATTTCAAGATTTACCACTAGCATATGATAGAGTAACTCAAGGTCATTTACGAGGTAAATTAGTTATTGATATGAAATAGTATTATTAGTAAGGATTTACACAATCTCAATAGTCATTATTCAATATGTAATTTGTATGTAATTTATTTTCAAATAAATATTCATTTTACATTATAATTCATGTATTCTCTTTATTGATTCATTTATGCAAATATTATTTTTAAATCCAACTTTGTTCTGAATTTCATGCCAAGATTCACTAGCTATTTCCATTGCTTTTTCTCTACCATCTTCCAAAATTTTTTGCAAATAAATTGGTTCCTTAATTAATCTTAAATATTCTTCACGTATTGGAGTTAACTTTTCTACAATTAAATCTGCCAGCACCAATTTATATCTGTAATATATAAATAATATAATGGAAAAAAAAAGAAAAATAATTTAATAGCTTATCTATAATGACTAAGGAAAAAAGGAATTCATTTTTTAATGTACATACTTGCCAGTATCAAGTCCTTCTGCTTCAGAACATATTTGATTTGTTGATTTTCCAGTAAGTAATGAATGTAATGCAACCAAATTTGAAACACCAGGTCGAGTTTTTGGTTCATAAGATACCTTTGACGTACAATCAGTAACTGCTACTTTTATTTTCTTTACTAATACATCAGGTTGGTCTAATATACCCAATCTGCTTCTTGGATCTTGACTAGACTTTGACATTTTCTTTGAAGGATCACGAAGTGACTTTATTCGTTCGCCTGCATTTTCTGCAACATGTGCTTTATTTGAAACAGATACATAAACAATATAACACATGCAGACATGCAGGTGCCTATTATATACTCTTATTTTAAAGTAAGCAAAAAACAAAAAAATTACCAGTAACTAAAGCATGAGGCACAGGAAAAGTATCTCCATATATTTTGTTGAATTTAATGGCTAATTCTTGTGCTAATTGAATATGTTGAATTTGATCTTGTCCTACAGGAACATGTGTTGCTCTGTAATATACATGAAATATTCTCTTTATGAAATTAATTTCAATTATTTCATACAATCCATTAATGTTCTAAAAAAGTTATAATGCATCATTAAGAAACATGAATTTTGCTACTTTTGTATATAAAATACTTACTTATATAGCAATATATCAGCAGCTTGTAGAACAGGATAAATATATAAACTTAGGGGAACAACCTTTAGTGTTTGTCTTTTTTCTTTGAATTGAGGCAAACGGGCTAATCTTGCTAAAGTTGTTATGGAACTCAAAACCCAGCATAGTTGTGTATGCATAGGTACAGTAGATTGTTGAAATAATATGCTCTTCTGTGGATCAATACCACAAGCTACCAATGTTGCCGTCATTTTAAATATATTATCATTCATCTCTTTAGAATCCTATGATTAACATTTACTTTCCTTTTCTTTTCTTTTGTATGTTTTTATTTGTAATTATACCAAATTTTGTTATACTTTCACTATTAGATGTAAAATACAAATTCAATAAAATCTTACATGTGATAAGGTAATAGAATGCATATCCACAATACTCCAAATAACATTTTCTTTACTATCCTGAAGTTGTATCCATTTTTGTATAGCACCAAGATAATTTCCCAAATGCAAATTTCCAGTTGGCTGAATTCCCGAAAATATTCTCTTTGAATAATTACATATAAAAACCTATAATTATTTTCATAACATGTACAAAATATATAATAGAAAATCTTGGCTATAATGGAAATTAACCTTCTGATTATATTCTTTCATAGTTGCATATGTAGAACTAGTGTTTTGGAGTATATTAATATTCTTTAATCTTCTAAACATTTTTGATAAATTATAATATCTAATTGGATTGTTATATACGCACTGTTAGACTGTTATTGTTGAATTGTTGGGTTATTGGATAAATCGAAATTAGTACAATATACATGTAACACCAAATTAAGTATATTGCATATATGCTTTTACTTATATACATATATCTGGTCTCTATATGCATATAAGTAGAAAATAGTTGAATTTATGCTTACAGTTTGCGGGAATTTTAAAAAAGATATATATGAAATGAATCGAACCGTTAATCTAATTATTATTCTATTATTTCACAATTATATAAATTTATCATAATTTTATTCTAATAAATGTATTACATTCTCATTTTACATAGTTCATATATATATATGGAATAATTATAACGATGGTACGAGATACAAAATATTATATAAGTCTATACTGTATTTGCCTGTACATATATATGATTGGAGATCGTAACAATCAGATTTCCTGAGTATTTTGTATTTAGTTTTCAAAATATATTTTTCTCGGTATACATTTTACTCTGTTTTCAAATAATAAGATTATCACTAGTGTAAACGAGAATAATAAATATTTATCAAAATTGATTTTAAAGTTATTTTGTTCTTTATTAATATATAATCTTACAATTAGATCGAATATTATTATGATCAAGTGTACCTTATGTATATCTATGATACAGCTATTGAACTTACTCTTCCATTTAGTAAACCTAGTAAACTTTTGCGATGTGATTTTCTCCTGGAAATTATTTTTGTTTAATTCTTTTACCGCTAGATGGTGTACCTTGCCTAAAACTTTCCGAACTTCTACATGCCCTTCAAAAAAGAATTTGCATCCTAGATGTTGTACAGCTGATATTGTAGTGTTGTATACAGCAGTACCTTTTTTTTACGTCTGTTAGTTATAAAAAATTGATCATAAAAGAATATTAAAAATACTTAAAGGTTTATGTTGTATTTATTAATAATAGTGTTTTGTCATTGTGTTAACATGATGATACATTTAAGGAAAATGTATTTTAAGTAAATTATTCAGTACCATTGTATGGATGATAAACGTATCGACAAGTTACAAAGAAATACAAAGCCTGTGAACAAATTGTTTTGGTGTTTCTTTATTTGTTGAACTATAATTAGCAGTTATGGTATATTTATCGGGTACCTGGGGTATGGGAGAAACAAAATCGCAGTGCCACAGTACAAATAGTTCCTGTTTTCTGCAGGAAAATGATGAAGAAGTTGCGTTATTGCCACTTAAGAATCAGGTAGGGTGATGATTGGTCTTGTTGAGTTGTACTTCTGTGTTTAAGTAAAATAATGCATAAATTATTCGCATTACCATTTATATTTTACTGTTTTACTGTTTCATTTTATGGTTATAATATGTAATATTGGTCTTCAGTGTAAAAAATTGTTTTTGCTTGTTTTTAACGTTAATCATATTAATCTGCCCAGTCAGTATATATATACACATCTGTAACTCTAACATATAATGAAATATTGTTTTTTGTTTTTATTTTAAATGATAATTTATTCTATGACATATATGTTTATTGTCATATGTTATATGTGTATATATATATATATATATATATATATATATATATACATATATACTTTTTACATAGAAGAAAGTGGGGAATATAATCCGATATTTAAAAGAATTTGTAATGAAAATATTACAAACTAGAAAAAAAAGGCTAAGAAATAATTGTTTAAAGAAATTTAATGAGTCACAGATTTTTAAAATATCTATATAGCAAGAACAAATAAAATAAAAATTGGTAAATTATGTTATATATTTTATATAAATGTGTGATACTTTTCGTGTATTCTTATGAATTTTTATACGTGCATTCTAATCAAATCAACACTTTTGTACAATTTCTATAGGTTGGTGGACATACGAGATTACTATTACTTAATCAGAATACTATTTGTAAACCATTAAACTGCAGGGAACTTAATTTTTATCAAAACATTCCACAAGACATTCAAATTTTCGTCCCAAAATTTAAAGGTAAAATAGTTTTATTATATTTTTCCTTGCTTATATCTTGTAATTTTATTTCATAATTATAATATGGATATTTATTACATTTTATAAATTCATATCTAAATGTAAGAACTAAACATATGTGCATCTGTTTAAATATTCAGTAGAATTAACTAATTCACTTAAAATACCATATTTTAAGTGAATTAAACAATAAAATTCTTTTGATGAAAATTTAAGTAATCAATAAATTAAGTTAGTCATTTTCACATATTTTCATATCTATGTGATTATAACTAATAGTAGCACACCATAATATGAAATAATATTAAAAGTGTAATATTATTTCGAATATTTCAGGTGTACTGCAAGCTTCCAATAGTGGTGAGGTTACCTTAGATAAACGTTATAGCCCTAGTTTCAGAGAACAGGATAACAGGCAAGGACATAGTTTAAATAAAAGGAAAAGGGAAGATGTATTAAGGTTTGCACCTAAATGATTTTCAACTGTAAAGATTATGTGAAATCATTGAATATATAAAATACCTTAACTTCTCAAGGCTAAGAGAAGTAATAACAATAAACTTCAACTACTGTAATTTTTGTTTTAGAATGAAAGTTCATCGAGATAATACATTAGCAGAAGTACTAAAACCAGGAATGCATTTGGATAACGCATCAAACAGACAATGTATGTCTAACAAGAATTCTTTAAGTGTTCAAGAAAAAAGATAATAAGAACTATGGAATGTAATTGAAGTACCATTATATTCTTTTTTTCTTTTGTATAAAAATAGATTTTCTTTTATTGGAAAATATAACATCACAGTACACTCATCCATGTATATTGGATCTGAAAATGGGGACGAGGCAGCATGGTGATGATGCATCAGCTGAGAAACGTAACAAACAAATTGCAAAATGTGCTGCTAGTACATCAGCCTCGTTAGGTGTTAGACTATGTGGAATGCAGGTTTGCTATTATAGGAAACTGTATTATATGTAGTAGTATTTTTATATTAAATCTGTTTAATATTAACTAAAAATAAAACAACACCAATATATTATTTGGAATTTTATAGCAAGGAAAAATAATGTTTGTTACAGGTTTATCAAGCCGATACCAATCATTATGTAAAAAAAGATAAATATTGGGGCAGAGAATTGAATGAAGAAGGTTTTAAAGCAGCATTGTATCGGTTTTTCCATAATGGTTTTTGTTTACGAACGTTAGTTATCGAAAAAGTAGTATCGCGATTAGAACAATTACGGCGTGCAATTGAAAGGCAAAGCAACTATCGATTTTATTCGTGGTAAGTTTTCTTAAATATGTCAATGGAATATTTTTAGAAACTATGTCTCGCATTTAAATGCTTAAAATATTATAATTTTAGAATTATAAGAGAAAATTATTCACACCCGTTTGATAACATTATCTGCAACGTGCTTTCTTAAATTTGTTTCAGTTCATTATTAGTCGTTTATGAAGGTTATCAAGTGGATTTTTCGGGATTCGGTCTTTCCTCGCCTGCATTGCGAATGGACGAAGAATCTACAAATTCTAGTTTCATCAGTGACGATTCTCATACTTCCAATCGCAGTTATGACGGTGACATAAGTAGCAATTCCGCAGATTATAATCTGTCGATCGAAGAAGAAATCTGTCAAACAACTACATTGCACAGAGGATTTGGTGAAACATCTAAAGGGGCCAAACGTATCGCCAATTTTTATCCTTCAAGGTGTGTGATCACTTTTTTTTTTCGTTCATTAGTGAATAAACATTGTCGTTGACATTTTTCGATAAGACAATATTGGTTGTTCCGTTTCGATTCGTCGCAATTGTTTGGAATTCTAAACTTCAAACCAGTTATTAATTATTAATATGTATATTAAAAAAATTTCTCTAAAAAATTTGGACCTGATATATTTATAAACGTATTCCAATACGTATGATTTACGATTTTCTTGAAATTCATTTACAGTAAAAGACGATTCGATACAGAAGATCCTGAGTTAAATTCCTAAAGTTGTGATGCTATTTCAAATTTATTGCAAAGTAATCTTTAAATAAAAATAATTTTATTCGTGAGTTTATTCAATTGTCGAGTAATTTATTAATTCATTTATTCATATTTGCTGTTTTCACTTACTGCCTTAATGTATTACAACAGTAGGAATCTAATGAATAGTTCCTTTTTGTTTTAAATATTATGATTAGACAATTGATAATTACACACATAAATGTAAACATTTTGCTTTAATACGTTTAACCCTCCGATATACTGAATAGAAGTTGGAATATGCACTGTCTGGTGAAGTATGTAATTATAAGGTATTATGCGTATATTTTATTCGGCATATTTTTTAATATTTCGACCGAATCAAAACATGTACATGTAAGTACTTGCTACTTTTTTCTTCTTTTTTTTTTTTTTCTTTTCCTCTTTTTCTGCGTGTTTTCCTCCTCGAAATAAAAGCATTTATTGGAACTCTTATCGTTGCTCGACGTGATAAACAAATATATTAAAATATTAATTGTGTTTCGTGACATATTATAACTGTATTTATCGAATACAAATTAGTGTTACATTTGACGGTATAACATACTCCATCAGAAAATTGGAGGGTTAGCTGTTACGACGATTCCAATGTATTCGAGTTGTTTATTTCAATTATATTTTGTTAAAAACCGGTTTAGAGGAAATATCGTACTGTCAGCACGTTAGTGTGTTGATACTTTTAGAAATTGTATATCGTACATGACATTATAAATATTCTTAGAGTATAGGTATTATTTTTAACAGAGTGAATAATAAGTAATTAAGCTAAAAATTATATACCTAACATTTTTAAGTTTGTTAGGATATTAAAATAAACGAATAAAATAGATGTGTGGTTGCAATATCAAGTAAGAAGTACTATCAATACGTTTTCTTAATGATTCGATAAGGTATTACAAAATTTTAAAACAAACATAAAAGAGAATTTGCGCCGTGTTTACTTAAATTAAAAAATCGACAATTGAACAAGTAATTACATAAAGACTTTACAATAGGTGCAAATTCTAGTTACGCTTGCCTTCGAGTAATTTATTTTTATTTTTTGTCGTATCGTTACACTAAAAGCTGGCAGTGCGATATTTTCGTAATTTAAGCATGTATATTTTTGTGTACCATCACTTTTTAGAAAACTGCTCTTTATTACGGCCGAACTATAATAAAGCGCGGCAATACCAGTCCCTAATCGAGCCCGATCAGTTTCTTAGGGGAGGATCAAAGCTGAAAGTGGTGGATTTCAAAATCCTTTCGTAGGTATATTGCTGCTCAAAAGTAGAGTACAACTCTACAAAAGTTATTAGGTGCAAATATTTATGCATTAAAATATTGAAGTTAAAAGAGCATATACATCGTATTACGCGTATGCACATATATTTGCACATATGCATACATATATACATACATATATATGTAAACACGCGCCCATTCTCCTACCCACACACACGTGTGCCCTTCCTTTACCCATACGCACGCGCGCGCGCGCGCGAATACATGCATATGTATATATATGTACGCATGTATACATATAATATGTATATGTGTGCAAGGAATGTTTCATAAAATATCGTGCATTGATAAGAAATAGGTTTTTAACATGTTCAGTATGATTTCCTGCAATTTAAATTCAATACATAGTTACGAAAATTTTTAGATACATTTTAAAAGTAATTACAGCACACCACAGTTTGGTATTTCATAACTTGTGCATGTACATGCTCACATTATCTTGTCGTTTGAATGTTAACTTTTGCATACAATTATAACGAAATATGATAAGATGTTTGGAGGAAGTTGCGTAGCTTTTACAAGTAGTTTCTAAATGCGAGTTATTTGCAAAGTCAAATATTATCCTATTTAGTTTTGTTCATCGATAATCCTACGATATGACAGTCGTTGATCAGAACATGTGAAGAATATCAAGAATGTGTGCGTGTGCGTGCGTGTGCGTACGTGTGATTTTCTTCTCTCTTCTTTTTTTTTTTCGTTTTTTATTTTTTTTAAATTCCATCTAGTCGATCTTTAATTTTTATTTTTCCTAATAGAGTCTCAGTGTATGGTAATGTTAAATTCCCAACTTCTATATATGTGTAGCACAGATAGATATACATGTATGCAACATCTGCGAGTGTGCGTGCTTGTATATGTATCTACTTGTATTTGTATCTATCTTTTTGATATTTCAATGAATATTTATAACTTAACTTTTAGCTTTACATTGCGCAATTAATTAAAGCAAATATACAAGACGATTAGTAAGTGGTGAATTTTGTTTCGCAGAAAATAAGTTTCTTTAAATTATATCTTGTATTAAATGTATTGAGATATGCACTAAGTAATTTTTATATTGCTGCACGAATTAAAAAGAACGAATCGTTAGTGTAAAAGGAGTCAGTACATGCATAGAGTAATAATAACAACAGTGCTAATTAATAAATTTTCTTGCACCGCATTAATATTATATTACTTTTTCGCGAAATGTATTTCATAAAGTAAAAACTGCAAATTGTATATTAATTTTAGTGATTTTACTAAGTTGCTTCCTCTTCTTTTTTCTTTTATAAGATGTAATAATATTTGGTAATAATGTTCACGATATTTAGGATATCTCGAAGTTTTGTTAGAACGATTATGAAATACGTAGTTTCGTAACAATATAATAGTAAAAATAACAGTATATAACGTGGCTTAGTAAAAATTATTGTCATCTACCACTAGCGATTACTACATTGAGTCAAACAATGTATGAAAAGTTTCAGTTCGTACTATAAGATAAAGAAAGAATTTTCTGAAAGCAATCACCATTTACTTTGCATCCTGTATATTTAGATATAAACATTCTTTTACTCGAAAATATATGACCCACAGGGCCTGCATGCCCGCTACGGTCTGGGCAGTAAAAGGGTTATTAATATATGGTAAGAGGTCATACATTGTATCATGTGAGATCTAATGACAGGGCTGTGTGAAAATTTCGCGATATAATAAGTTTTTACATCTCAATTTCTCTAATTCATTTTACATGCGTATATTTATGGTTTTTATGCGTTCTTCAATGAAAATTGGAATAGTATAAAAAGTAGAAGGAATGACGCAATGTGACATTTGTTATATTAATCTCGTAACCTAGGGTCAAGTAGTCAGTTATTTGGTTCTCTCTTTGTATAATAATTTCTTAGCAAAAGGATCGATGAAATATAGCTATCATCGCGAACTTTTTGCGCGGCCCATATTAAATCTTTTACGTGTTGATATCCAATATAATACCCAAAGAGAAGCAAATTAACCAAGCAATAATAATTAATAATGCATTCTATGCGATGACCAACTGACAATCTCAGCAGCGAGGAGACTGTTTTCGTCGCATCTACGGACAGCTTAATCGACAAGGTGCTCCAATCTCCCAGATACGAACAGTGGATGCTTTACGACACTTCAAACGATGAATTCTGTTTCAAACAAAATCCGGGAAATGAGATACAAGACGCTAGTTCCGACATTGAAATTAGATCAGATCCTGGATCAAGGAAACAAAGACATCGATTATTTCACGTTTACGAGAGGGAAGAGAGAATAGAAGACGAATGTACCGATATGACGAACAGGTATCTATAATTTCGTAATTACGATGAGATAAGAAAACTAATAAAATACATGGAACGTTTTGTTTCACAGGTACACGTCTTATCCTTATCGAACGAGAAAGATGAAACAAAAATGTCAAGAAGCACGAGTCGATGTAAGAATAATCGACTTTGCACACACAACTTTTGTTCATGGTTCTAGTATATCTTGTAACTCAGCTCATACTTCCATGGTGCATCAAGGTCCAGACTATGGTTTTCTAACCGGTCTTGATAGCTTAAGACGACTTCTTCTTGAAATTTTGACTGAAGGTTAATTCGTAAATACTTGACCAACATGGGCCTGTTTGTATTTATAGAATAACCAAATTGAGAAACAAAACAATTACGTGTATTTTGAGAGAAAACGTTGACGAAGAAACGTAGATGAAGAATCTTTGGTTCGCAGTAAAATTATTGGTGACAAATTTCTGATTCTTAAACATGATTAACTTCTTTGAGACCGATCTGTGCATACGTATTTCTGACGTATGATTTTATGTTCTGAAGTTCCATTATATGTACGAGCAAAGTATGCAAGCAGAATTTACAAGTGTATATGGCAGTGATGTATATGAGAACAAACTGACATTTACAAAGTATTATTTAATTTACAAATAAATTAGAAGATGGGGTAATGGGGATGGGGAATGGAGACCTAGAAGATTGAGTAAGTGAATGAGGGGAGCGAGCGAGCGAGCGAGAAAGAGAGAGAGAGAGAGAGAGAGAGAGAGAGAGAGAGAGGGGGGGGGGGTGACGGGAGTGGGGGAATGGGGGTGATTTGTACACTTTATGCGAGAATTGTCTGTTATACGATCACTGTATATATATATGATTCTTAATACAAAAACAGTTAGAAAAAAAAGCTATTTTTAAGGAAAGATGTACCTGTATGTTCTTCGTCCTTTCCAGTCTATCTCAGACAGATAACATACTTTTGTAAATCGTTAAATGATCTAATAGGTAGACACAACAAATCTATGACGAGAATTTTTTACAAGTTATATGGCAAAAAATAAATCATAGAAATGATATAACGGTACATTATGAAAAATATATTTAGCTATGCAGTGTCATAAAATTTGCATTATTCCAATAAACAATGCGAAAACTCATTTGATGTTAAATCATTTTCAATTTCAAGTTAAAAACATAAGTAAATGCGCGTACACGCGTTCATAAGTATCGATACACCTAATAAGCGAATTTAAAAAATTGTTAACATGTTTTTAAGAATATGTTTATTTATTATACTTTAAAGCATTTAACTCATCGCTTTTCTGTAACCTTAACAGACAGCAAATTCTAGGAATTGTTGCTGTCTATTTTGAATCGTCTTGTTTGAATGTAAAAATAAATTTCGATCATTTCATTAATATTTATGCACATAATGTATAATATACTAGATATACTATTATTGCAACCATTTAATTCTATTAATAAATTAGACTAGAAGGACAATAGAAGTACTTTAAACTTTAAGGAACAGTATCATGCATTGAAAGCATGAACTTCGGTTGAACGATAAATAATATACATTCGCTGGATCTACTTAACATGTATATTTAACGCCTTTTTTATATATATATATATATATATCCGAGTTTTCGACTTCGTTTCAAATTAGATAGCCTGTTAATCAAAGGAATCCAATTTGACGGATTAATCCGTTTTCTTCTTTCTTTCGGGCAATTATCTTTATTTATATATCATTGTGGTATAATTTATAACATATGTTATGGAAAAAGAAGTTACGAGACACAGAATACATAGTTCTCGATTAAAAATCATAAGAATTTAATAGGAATAAACAAAATATGTAACAAATTTTGTAAAGGAAAGATAGAGAGAAAGAAGGAAAACGTGGGACGCAGAAATAATAGGTATTGTATTTTATGAGAAACTGTGAATTTGCAATTGTAGATTTTTTGTCGATACATGTAAGATTTTTGACTTTTTCGAATCAACCGATTATAGCAGATTCAAGTGGTTCCTTCTTCTCCTTTTCCCCACCGCCGATGCGTATCGATCTTCTTAAAGGTAACGAAGTTGAGTTATTCCTAGGAGACCATTGCTTGGTGTTAAATCGTATCCAGTTATCGATGAAACGCGAAAGGAAAACGGTAACGCGCGACACACTTTACGTTTGTGATTACAAAATAAAGACATTTCATAGTGCATTTCTTTGCTAATACATACATGTAAATATTACGCGTAGGATCAATTGTTCTTATTAGGCATTTTCTAAATTTTGTTAATAAATACATGTGTTTATTTCGTGTATTATTACAGTTTTGAAGGACAATTAAATTACACGGAAAATAAGGTTGTCAACGATTGAGCTGTTCGGTAACAAAGTAACTTTGGAAAATCAAAAAGAATAAAATAAAATAATTTCATGATTAAAAGTAAGTGCAGTAATTAAATAATGGTAATTGAAAGTTATGTACCATTGCTTAGCGTCTAACATTTGCGAAATAACAACGAAGAAGGATATGCTAATACAAAGATATCGGATATCAAGTAATCAAGTACCTTAACTTGAAAGAATTGAGAAAGCATGTTAAAATTCTTTATAGGAAAAAAGTTAAAGATGCGCGGAAACTAGCGGAATGCTGGAGATGCAATTTTGATCCTAATGGAACGTAGATATTGCGTAACGTCTCTCGCTTGGCTATACAAAGTAATCTAATATACAGTTTTATCCAACTACTGCGCGTGTAGCACGTGTTAACATTCGCTTCGATTCCTCTTGGTATGCGGCACAAGTGTACATACATAGACTTATTTGTATGCATCTCGTACGATTAAACAAGTCGCAATTAACTATCGAATCACAGTATCTCGTTTAAACGATTAAACTTGACAACGAACGAATCGCAAAGAAATTTACGTTATAAAAGACCGTAAAAGAAAGAGATATTCGAAAAGAGAACACTCGAAAAAGGAAAGACGATTGAAGAAAAGAGAGAATGAAAGCGTTGACCATACCATGACGCAATAAGCGTTTAATGATCTCGATCGAAAGATGGTCTTCGATTCGGTGTCTGAAGAGCAGAGAAAACGTTTTTTTAAACAGAGTTATGCCGCTCATTTGCCTGGGTAAGACTCGACGAGTTACACGCACACCTGAAACAATAATACCGATATTTTAATCTGTACCCGATTGCGTAGTATAATTTAAGAATCATTTTTTCCTCTTTCATCTTGTCCCAAGACGGGTTCGAATTTCCATCTGCGACAAATACTTGCACCTTGGGTATTACGCGGTATCAATTAAATTTGCACCGTTTCATAACATCCATAACAAGTAACACCGTTAATTTTTGGTTGCGCAATGTACCTATATACCAACACAATGCGATACGCGATAGCACAACTTTCTAATACACGAAGACATGTATTTTCAAAATTACCGATGGTTTGAATAGTTTTCCAAAACAAAAACTTTTGTGTTATGCATGAAATAGTTGCACACAATTTAGCGCCTAAAGCATTATGCTCTTATCCCAGTCGTCTCGACGCATGTGCACATGTACACTTGTATCCGCGCATCGATATATCGATTATCGATAGTAGCAACAATGTGGTAATAGAACGATTTGAAAAACTTGAGATTTTATTGTTTCCAATTAAAACGATTAGCAACTATGTACAATTAGTATAGAACTAGTATGATAGAATGATCGATAAAATCGATATAACAGATACGGGCTAGAGATGCGAACAAGCTATGGAAAATTAAATTTCAAACAATAACAATTAAATAAATGAGTCATATGTGATTAAGCTATTAAGTATGTGTTACTTGTATTTAGGTTGTTCTTAAATGAAACGATGAAAAATGTATTAACGAGAAAAAGATAATCCAATTGATCTAATAGTTCAAATACAACGTTTAAAAGAGTTCATAAACCGGCCCAATTCTTTTTAATTCCTTTGTCAGTTGGATTTCTTTCCGATAATTTAATGACACGCATGTACATTGCATACGTAATGGTTAAACGCAAGAAGTTAAATAATGCGCTTGTTTATTTTCACTGTTACAAGATTAGAAATCTTATTTATTGGTTTATCCATTTTTGAGGTGCTGCTTTCGTTATGAGTACATTATAATACTTCTTCGTATTAATTTTAGGTACACCGGACATTGTCCCACTCTTAGGTTTCGTGTTGGAAAACGATTCGGAGCGTGTACCCAAGAAATTATGAAGGTACGGGTATTTGAATAATACGTATAAAAGAGGAAATCAAGGAAAAGATGCAAAAGTACAGATGAGATTCGCTTGTAAAGTTAATCAAAGTTTCTACATATTATAACATGCAGGAATTACTCGAAAAGAAAATCCTTAAGACAGGACCTTATAGACCCAACTCCGAGAGGAATATGCGCGAACATATGAGTGTTTTGGAGAAAAACACCAATACGGATTGGACAAGTGAACCACATTTCTTCAAAGCACCTCCGTACATCTTGGGATATACTGGTAAATAGATTGAGATACGATCTTAGGTGAGTAAAAATTAGAAGCGAAATTGAAGTATCGTATCCTAGCGTGTCGTATTGTATTGTATCTTATCGTATTACAAAAACGAATTAATTAATGCGCATAATCGTCTTATTGTAGGATATATTCCTGGATTTAATAACAGGTATGGTTTATCCTTTATGAGAGCCGTGGAAGAGGGTGCCAGAGAATGGCGCGAAAATCAAACTAAATTGAAAGCTCGTAGAGACCTTACACAAACTAAGATTGAAAAAAGTGTCGCCTCTAAAAATCATTTACTTCAAACGAGAACCGATAACATAGGTGTTCATATTCATCATAACCACCATTATGATCATGGTAAAAATCGACTAATTACTTTTCGTACGTATTGTTATTATAACTATATTTTCTCGATTTTGAATGAATCTTCAATAAACAATTTAATAAAGTGTAAAAAGAATCTTAAATAAACAGCAGATAAAATATCATAACCATCTTGGAATATATCTTAAAATATGAAAGTTACTGTTACAGATTATGAAGTTTCTCCTGAAAGACCACCAATTGTAGGCTATACGGGTCATATTCCAGGCGTCAAGGGAGAGGTTGCACTTTCGAAAAGATATGCACAAGCTGCAAAAAGGGGATTGGAATTAGTTCGAAAGGAACGTGAACAAAGACTTGGTAAATTAACGGGCAGCGATACGGTACAGGGAATTTCAAATGTAGATCGCTATGATAAAACTGAGTTCGCGGAAGCCTAATTTTCAGAATTCCCCGAATTCGAATTTTATCCCGACAGAATATTTGATACGTCCATAAACCAATGACAATCTCTTTTAACGATAACTCTTATCTGATTAAAACTATTTCATTAAATATAATTTATATTTCTAACTTATTTTCAATTTTACGCTACCAATAATGGATGGATATTTAAATAAAATTATCATCAACTATTACCTTGACATTTTTCTCTTTCTTGTATTTTTTCTTTCTTTTTTTTTTATTAATAAAATCCTGTTATCTTTTTTTAATGTCCAAATACTTAAATCAAAAGCAAATCGACGATCTTACTTGTACTTTTTTTTTTAAATATAAATTAGTCAATATTCGAATCGAGGAATTCTTGAAAATATTTCTCATCTGGAAATATTTTTGAAGAATATAAAAATGAAAATAGTGCTATTTTCATTTCCAAAATGTAAAGATACATTAACTCGCATTTGTGAAATGAAATTTAGTGAATGTGTAGTAAATTAATGTTACACAATTTAGCACGTATTCCAACATTTTATACGTTTTACAAGAAAAATTGGCACACAACTGCAAATATTTCAATCCATGTACCGTAAATTGGTAATTAAAACATAAAATGATAAAGTTTTTAGTAAAAATCTATATATCAAGGTGTACAAAAGAAGAATAAATTTCCATACACATAAATAAAGGTATAACAAATTAATAGTAGAGCAATTGAATCCATTGTATTAATTAATGAATTAATGAATTATTTTCGATTGAATTAGGTTTCTTTCTTATCTGGTAATCTATTTAATCTTTCCGTTTCCATTTGAACTGCTCTTTTCCAATGTTCTACAGTTAAGACATTTGATCCGTATGACAATGATAATAATCTGGCTAATACCATTAATGAGTGTAAATGATCAACGTTTTTGTTTAATTGCCGCCATCGTATGAAATCATCTTGAATTTCCTAGAGGCAAAAAAATTAACATTACCATAAAAAAAAAAGAGAGAGAAGAAAAAAGAAAAAGAAACACTGCGTGTATCACATTGTGACTGTATAGCAAACACGGGCTTATTATACATATGTATGATATATTCTGCCAACAAAGTAGGTCAAATAATATTAAATACCTTTATAATTTCTTCATCATTAAATTCAAACTCCGTATCTCGTATAGTCTCTAAATACTGTCGAATGTTTATTAGTCTATTTTCATCTTTCAAATACTGTTCCGCGATTTCCATTATTTGAGGGTAAACGTTTTTCGATTCTGAATCTACTTTTAGAACAACTTGGGTTTGACACTAAAATGAATGTATATTATTTATCGTTCATGATTAATGAAATTAATCAAAATACTTCTAGTAAAAATTCTTTCATACAGGGATAAAAGATTTAGCTTCTGATAAAATTAAAACTGGAATATCTGTCTCATATTCCATTTTATAAAATGTAAAATCATATGTCACTTTTTGAAAGTTAACCAAGTCACAAATCGCATTATAATTCTCTCGTCCAATTTGCGTCATTTTTCCAGTGGTCAATCCAGTTTCATCTATTACGAGATGTGTATTATTACTAAGTTGCAGTACTCCACTGGTTAGCCTATTACATTCGTAATCCTTCCTAATAAAGAAGAAACAAATATTTCAAATTATATCATGTGTGTAACTTTCACACAAGAAATAATCACTCCTTACTGTGATATAGTTGCTTACTTTGGTAACAAAGTCAAATTATTTAAATTTTCCAATGTAATTTCCAAGAAGTGACTTTTTTCTGTGAGTAGTGTTAAAAATTTATATAAATCCTTTGGAAATTCTTTATATTTAATTACAGGGAAGTGTGTTATATTTAGTGGATAAGTACCAAGACAAAAATAATCCCTTCTTACATAGCTGGAATAAAATGATACTTTTATAAATAAATTTATTAGTTCTTCTCTCATAAAATAATAAAAGTGAATCAAATATGTTTACATCGATGATAGTAGATGACAAATCAAGTAGTCTGCAGCCAAGTGATCCCCAAACAGAAGTTGGTTCAATATTAAATGAAGATCACTCCTTATTAATTCTGCTTTAGACATTATTTGTGAGTTAATTTTTATATCTTGTTTAGTTGACTGAATTATTTTTATAGCATGTAATCGAGGAACAAGAGATGTTGGTGGATGGTGCACAATAATTTCAGGTTGCGTCATAGTTTCATCTGAATAATGAAGAGCATTTAAAAAAGGATTCAAAGATATGAAACCTATTATTTCAATAACTTGATTCAGTTTTAGAGAAATATCTTCATATATCTGTAATTTAATGTACAAAAAGATATGTTGACAAAATTTGAATGTTTATATATTTAAGATTATTAGTCATGTGAAAATTAAATATCAAAAATTAGTTAATAACCTTCACAATACAAGCTCTACCATCATCCATTGGGATTGGAAAATTTAATATATATTCTTTTGAAAATAGACATTGTTGGCTTGTCATAGTGTCTATTTTCTTATCATCATCAATTGAGAAAATTTTTCCTTTTTTTCGATCTGATTCCAAATTATTTATAATTTTACTGTTACTTTCGTCTAAATTCCTTTTAAGATTATTGATTACTTTCATGCCTAAATGTGATTGTCCATATGTTTCTTTTGCCCAATCATTTAAACCAGGAATTGATATTACAATACATGTTTGCCTTTCTGAACTTTGATTGTTTTCAGATTCTAATAAAACCATTTCATTTGGCTAAAAAACATACATAATAAAATTTTAAGCAAGTAAAATATTAAACACATTTATTCTAAAATATTTGTTGCAAATAAAATTATGTAGGTAGTTTTATACATGAGATAAGCTGCTCTTTTTGCATCTCACACCTGTAACTACCATATATTTGCTATGGGCCCTTATATCGATCTTAAATATCCATATAATTTGAACATGGATTAATAAGCATTAAAGTATAAAAGGGCCTTATAAAATAAAATTTTATTTAAAATAATCACCAAACATTCAGCAGAATCTGTGTACATCCCACATTTAAGCTCACATATTTCAGTTTCAGTATTTTTCACCTCGTACAACTGCAAATAATATTCAGGATCGTGCATATCTTGAATCATTCCTTTAAATCTGACTAACTGTCGATCTTTGAATGTCTGAAGGGTATTAGTATTTAGTAAAGGAATTTCTTTTAAAACTTCTAAATTTTCCAAAATTAGATTGCATTTCGATCGATTTGCAGTAAAATACTCAGGTGTCCAATTTGTAATTTTAAGTAAAGCTAAAATAAGGAAAATGCTATTTATGATATATATCCTGTAACTAATTTCGTTTAACAGTAATTTAATGGTTGCATGAAAAATGCTACATAATTTGAATAAGAACATTTACTTACAGGTCATTATAAGATTATACACAAATGCTGAAGTTTTAATAAAGTTAATTACAAATTAACCTCGAAGAATATTTATAAACAAAATATATGAAAATAATGTCAAAAAAAAAAAGAAAAAGAAAAGAAAAATGTAAAAATATTACTTCACTTTGAACACGTTCAATCCTATTCAATCTACACTTTATTCGTAAACAAGGTGTAATATACAGATTCACCAATAATAGCACTTCCGTTCTTTGCTACTACAGAGACCTCTTCGCATAATCATGATCAAATAATTTTATTTGACCAAATATTGTTATTAATATTGTTCCTCTTCTTCTCATTGTCATCATCATCACTATTATTATTATCATTATCATCGTTATCATTATTATTATTATTTATTATTATTATTTATTTATTTATTTATTGTTATTATTACTATCATTATTATTACTACTACTACTATTACTACTGCTATTATTGTTATTACTGCTAACTTAGTCAAACAATAGTTTTATAGGAGTTGATAAGTTATAACAGAAACTATAAATAACAGAATTACAAGAAAACTACATAGCCATTTAGTATTTACAGCATCTCTAGCAATAAATAAAATTGTAGCACTCTATTTTTAAAAAATATCAATATTAACACTACGATATTGTAAGTAAAATGGAAAATGTCGTTTCATTCAATGTAAAAATATATGTATTTATGATTTCAATTTGTCATAGATTACGTAGAAGAATAATGATATGTACAATAATATTCAATATGATTGTGTAATATAAATAACATTCAGTAATATTAAAGTCTTGTATCTGCTTTAAATATACAAATAATGGAACAATAACAAATGAAAATTATACTAGTTGCTAATTACTATCTATAAAAACAAATTCTCACGCATACTTTATATCATACGAACTATATTTAATCAGGTCTCCAAAAGTTTAAATATAATCTTCAGCAGTATTTACGAATTTTAAATCCCTCTGTTTCAATTTAACATATTCTCCTCTTATAGGGATATTTGAATCCATTGAAACTGCATTTTCAAATCCTTGCTCTGACAAATATACATTAGTTCTAATCAATGGTGTTTCAACTATATCACTTTTAGATAAATTTTGGTTTATTTTTTTCTTTAATTTATTTACCGAATTTTCCACCGTTTGTTCATTTTGTTTAAAACATTTCTCGCGATTATTCTTAATGGAGAAATTCTTTATTAGATATTCAGGTTTCTCACTTGAGATATCACTTATAACTTTGGTACTGGTTTCTTCAATTTTCATGTTAATTTCTCGTTTCTCACGTTCGTGATTCTCTAAAATATCTCTATGTATTATTTGAACGCTTTCCTCAGACTTATTTTCTATTAAGATTAACGTATTTTCTATACTTGTTTGATTTCGCATTTTCAATGCAATTGGTAGAGAATATTCGTGCTGTATTTTTCCAATTTTTAAATTCGGCTTCTTTACCGAATTAAAAATTATATCAGTATCAGTATTTTTATTATTATACATGATTTTATCAGGTTCACTATCATTTAGTTTAAAGCCATTTATAGAAATAGATCTTTGTAATACTCGTTTTGTCAAAGCATTTAAGATAGGCCCTTTAGGTAATTCTTTTGTATCATTTGAACTTGCTCCAACTTTTTTAATTCTTTCAATATGTACTTTATTATGAAATAACATATGATTTTTATCGATTTGAACATTTTGTTCTTTATTTAGGTTCTCATTGTTAGAAAAAACTGCATTAGAACTTTTATCATTGATGCTTTTTTGTTTCTTTGGAAGTACTTTTTCATTACTGCTACTCATTACCGTAATATTCTTATTTGATTGTGTAACAGATTTCCCATTTTTATAAATAGCATTTAATTTTCCTTTGTATTTTTGATGTTCTTGTGTGTCTTTAATAATTTTTTGCTTTTGCCTCTCAATTTCTTGTTTTTGCTCTTTTAGATCTTTTAATATTTCTTTTTGTTCCTCCATCATCTGCAATTGTTCTTGTTTGTGTTTTTCTAAAGTCTTTCTAAGTTTTTCATGCCTCTCTGAAACCAACACGTTGGCAGCCTCTGCATAAGCAGCTAACTCTGATTCTTCTTTTTTAATTGCATCAGAATTTATAGAATTATCATGTCCTTTTGCATTTATAAAACTATCTTTCATCTCTGAAGGATTATTTTCTTTCATGATTATGGGATTACTTTCTTCTCTGTTTCCAGTGACAAATTCTGTTTGTGTTATAACGTTATCTTTCACCAATATGTTCGATTGTTTATGAAAGTTTGTATCCATTGTTTTTATTTCTTCAACCATCTTTTTAATAACTGGGGCAAAAGTAACCAATATAGTATCAACAGGATTTTGTGTTTCCATCATTGGCTTGTCTGTGACAACTATGCGTTCAACTGGTATCGGTGGTTCCTGTCTTATATCATTTGCTTGTAAGTTGAGAGATTTGTCAAGGACATTTAAACTTGGTAACTGACCTCCTTTCTCTGAAAATCATTAATGTTATCATTATTACTATTATTATTGCTATTGCTATTACTACTACTACTACTACTACTACTACTACTACTACTACTACTACTACTACTACTACTGTTACTATCAGTATTATTATTAATACTGATATCTATTTTAGTGTTTAATTAATAACTGTTTTCAAAAACTATGACACGACAATAAATAAATAAATAAATAAATAAATAAATTCTTAATACCCTTAATATTTGGAGGAATTTCAATATTTGGATTATTAGGAACATTTGCTACTGCATTGATATCATCTTTATTTAAGTTTAACGGTAAATTATTTATTTGATTCAAAGGCTTATTTGTTGTTGTTAATATTTTCGTATTAGCAGATTCTTCTAGAGCATATAAATTTGCATATGTACTCAGAATCATAATGCAGATACCAATAAATAGTATCACCTAGACATATATTGAAAAGAAATTATTAAAGATAAATAATATAATTGTAGAATAATATAATTTTTGTATTTGATTAACAATCTCACTTGGGCTAATAGTCTTTCATTAGTATGTTTGTTACTAATAGATATAAAGAATATTGCTGGAAATATCAAGCAAATCATTACTCCGATAGTGGATCCTACTAAACCAAGAACAAACTCAATATTTGGTATTAGAATGCCAGTGATAAGAGAAACAACTACAATTATAATAGTAAGACATCTAAATCTTGTTTCTGGTAAATAATTTATAGAAGGTTCATGAGAGTATACCTGTAAAAAGGTTATAATAATTAAATTTATTAAATCATTATCACCATACTTTGTCACAATTAATACAAACCCTGCGAAATAATAGAGAATTTAGACTTGCACGACATGGAAAAATGACTAGAGGAAAACTAAATGCTATGGAAAACACAAATCCCATCTTAATCATCTCGGATGACAATGTAGGTTCAAAGCTCATTAATATATTCCCTACAAATTTAATAATAAATAAGTAAGGCATTTACAGATTGTTTGCATGTATAATAAATACCTGTAAATGGCTGTGTACAAAATGCAATATAACCAAAAAATCCAACACAGAGGTATACAATGGTGCATATATTTAGCGCACCTCGTACAACTTCATTCATTTTTTCTAAAGACACATTTGGAATAGTTTCATAAATTTCAAATAATTGGGTCTGACAGAATAAGGCCATAGAAAAAATAGGTACACATTGAAGTATACCAGATGGTCTCCAATAATATACATGTTCGTACCAATCCCCAGCAAAAATATGTTGCATAGATTCAGTTATTATCTATTAAAAAGAAAATATCTAATAAATTATCATTGAATTGCTTTTATCACAAATACAGACAGTTGCAAATTATTTACCTTCAGTACAAGACAAAGATAAAATATAATTGTAGCAGTACAAAGAGTAGACAGACTGTCAATATTTCTAAGTAATCCCAATGGCAAAACAATGAAAATACTAGTTGTTATAAGTAAACTAGTCCTAATATCTTCCGGACTTTTATCTATTACTTTTCGCACAATTTGTGGTCCTAAATCACCCATAACAACAAAGAAAGCGATACATGTTCCCACAAGAAAACCAATAATAAATAATTCCACCAAAAATTTGCCCATATGACCAAATGCATGAAAAGCCAACAGTTCAAAATTTCGTCTTCTGGACATCACAGCTGATTTAATAAGAAAATGACAAGCAAGTCTGGATAAAGTACTACTCAATATTAAGACTACAATAGCTAAAATAATACCACATTGCTTGAAACAAAACGGCATTGCAAGAACGCTTACTCCAATAATGCTGTTCGCAAGAGTCATAATATGTGATAATTGAGAAATCATTTTAATAGCTTTTATATTCCTTCTTTCAAGATAAACCTGGTCAATTTATTATTGTATAGAATGATATTTGCATAAATATTAATGCCTGAAAATTTTCAGAGTACACGTTTTTATCGATTGTTAAATTTCTGTCCTGAATGGATATTTCCAACAGACAGCAACGTTATAATATTTAACAGATATTTGGAGACTTCATAATATACATATAAATAATAGTTCGCGCATTGTTTCCAAATCCTATTAAAATATAAATTGTTCCGATGAGGTTAGATGTATGATTCCGTTAATCAGTAACGTATGACCAACAATAATACGTATAGAACAAATAAAATAATTTATTATCATGTTGAACGTATCAAAACCGTGATTTGAACGTCACGCTTTTGATAAAACACAATTTGTTTATAACGATAATTGAAAAAACTATCAAGCGTTCTGCTCGCTTCTCAAAACCGCCACCATTTCGTCTCAACAAGGCATGCTTCATTAATCCACAACACCATAAAAAGTGAATTCATCAATACGCACAGTAGATTTCTTTATTTTTTATTATAAATATTTAAAAACATTCGTATTACTCGTATTTGGACACACACACACACACACACGCGCGCGCGCACGCGCGCGTACACACATATACGTACGATATTTGATCTAGCTTAAATCGACTTACTGTACGCAAGTATTATATCGACTTTGTCTTTGTGTTGTAGGTAATTAATTACAATAAATGGTATGTGTTTAATTACAATAAAGGTATGCATTTAATTACAATTGGTTAAATCGACATATTCCTCCTTCGATTAATTATCTGGCATCGTGCAACTAGTCGAATTTAATCTGTTTCTCCATGTACTTTCGAGGCGCGAAAATTTTAATCTTATGTACACTAAATTAATGTATATATACTCTCGTGCAAATGTTCAACTATTAATGGCTAGAGGGTAATTTTAATATGTACGTTTCTAAAATACTCCTTTTTCTCTTCTTGCTTTTCTTCTTTGAACGAGAGTGTTTTTGCAACCTCGACGAACAGATAAAAATCGACTTGGTCACGTATGTTCAATTTTTAACATTATTTTCACTTAATTTATAATTAAGATTCTATAATTATTCTTGAGTTCAATATGTTCATTGACAGCTGTATTTTTCTCATAATTTCTTCTGTGCTGACTATTTAATTTTTCACATATAAAATAAAATATTTTACATATCAAAAAGAATAGCGTTATGTCGTTATTATATAGTATTGCATGTAGGATGTCGTTTACATCTGATTTTATGTTATGTACAAGAATGGGAAGTAAAAGAATTTGTTAACCCATAATACTTGCCCGTTGTACAATCTCATTTCCTTCCAGCTATAGATTACGCTTATTACACGATTTAATTAAGATCATGCCATGAATAATGAATAAGAAGATAAAGAATTGTAGCATTCATGCAAAACATATTATCGTTATCTGTATATTTCTGCATGATTCACTAAAATATATCAATTACAAAAATTAGATATCTTGATAAGCTGCCTATATATTCTGATCCTGGTGGAAATTTCAAATTTTATAAAAAGTTTAACTTTGTACATTTGAGATACCTGTTTGTCTTATTTGACTAGTTATATTTATCGATTCTAAATGAATACGAAGGTTTTGATCAGATTGTGAGAATTGACTGTTTACTCAAGATACCGTTCATTGTATATCAAAAAAATTTCAGAAATTAACTGCTTGATGAATTGTCAATTTAAAAGTTTCAGTTAATATTTATAAATTTAACGAGATAAATACTAAAATTGCTGAGCAGTCATGATGTTAATTACACGCTCGAACGTGTATATAGGTGAAAACAGTGTCTTTTGCCTCAAATTCAATCAATACATATCGATATTTTTGTTAGATATATCATTTTAAATCAAATAATAAAACAAATTTTGGTAATTGTTTAGGATCGTATATCGAGTTCGAGACAATGGACAACTATTACACACTATATGTTTGTTGACCTAAGTTACTTATACTGATCTATGCTTGATTTAAATAAGAACTTTTCCCACTTTTTTTTTTTTTTTTGGAAAAGAATACCATTTATCAGGGATTCGCCCCACCGTCTTTCTTTGTTTCCTCGTTTGTAACATTCGTTTTCTCATCCTTTTCATTTTCTACAAAAATATTAGAATTTGTTTTATCGCAAAAAAAGCAAAAATAAAAGTTTACTTTATATGCATAGAAACAAACTTACATACCTTTTGGTTCTGATTTTATGTCCTCTTCTTTCTTCAGATCACTTTCTATACCTTCTTGTCCTTTCTCTAAGCGAGGTCGTTTTCTAGAACCCTTTTAAATACAAAAGTACGATCAAATTATATATAAAAATATTTGACACAAATAAAATATTGTACCTGCTAGGCAAAATGTAATAAAAAATACATACAGTAGTGCATGCTTAACTGTCGCGGAATGGAATTACTTCGAATGATAGACACTTGTAATACATATTGATCGCCGTTTTCTACGTGTCTTACTTTCTATTTTTCTCCAAATTTTAATAACAATTTTAAGTAGCAGAAACTGCTTCTCTTTCTTACTTCGCACGAGCGAGTAAGTTGAGCGTTATTAAAAAGGAAGCCGAACAATTCTCGGAACACCTATATCCACAGGTAATTAATACGCCACGATTCCGATACTGCGACAATTATGCTTGCACTACTGTATTTATAAACAATAATGGATGTTACCTTAAATGATCTGTTATCTCTTCGCCCCCCTTCGCCCTCTTCTTCGCTATCACTGTATTCATTTTCATGTTGTATCCTTTTATCTAAATCCCGTTGTGGTAATCTTTCATCAGGATTTACTTTTTCCTCTGCCTCTGAATCTTCGATAACAGCACCATCTTCTGGAATTGGCTGAACTTGTACACCTGGCGCATGAGGCAACATTCTTAGATTTTCAAATAATCTGGTTCTATAAAAAATATAAAACATGATAAATAAAGAACAACCTAAAGAACACAATTAGTTGTTTACTATCCTTAAGATAAAACATACTTAATTTTCTCAAGGTATTCAGGAGTATTTTGATTTGCCATATTCGAAGGACTGATGTGCAGTTTAAAATCAGGTCCAAAATACTCAAAATAATCATTATAAGGTAACTCATTTGCAATTTCTGAACCAAGAGCTACTGAAGTTTCATATGTCCAACATCTGGATACATTTCTAATTGTATATCCACCACCGCCAACCATTAAAAAAGGTAGATTATATTTTTTTACAAATTCGACACATTTTCCATGACCCCTCACAGTTAAATTGAAACAACCTAATCGATCCCCTATAAAAAGCATATATCAATTCAACTTTTGCTTTATTCTTTTCTTTCAACTCTATAAAATATCACTGATGTATACCTGTCAATGAATCAGCACCGCATTGTAGTACAACAGCAGAGGGTTGAAAAGTTTCCATCACTTTTGAAATAATAGGTACAAATATTGACTCATAACTTTCATCATCCATACCATCTCTTAATGGTATGTTGACTGCATAGTATTTTCCCTGTATAAAAAATACCAAGTTAAGTTAAAACTTTGAAATATAAGTATCAAATCGATTATTAACAGAACTTTTTACCTTTCCTGCACCAATATCACGCAGATCACCAGTACCAGGAAAATATTCACCATATTTATGGAATGAAACCGTCATTACTCTATCAGTGGTATAAAATGCTTCTTCTACACCATCTCCATGATGAACATCAATATCAATATATAAAACTCTTTGATGGTATTTAAGTAGTTCCAATATTCCTAGTACAATGTCATTTACATAACAGAAACCAGATGCTTCACTTTTTTTAGCATGGTGTAAACCACCACCCCAATTTATACAAATTTCTGAGGCTTGTTTATTAAGTTTTACAGCAGCAGCTACAGAGCCTCCAGCTGATAATTGACAAAATTCATATAAACCATCAAAAACAGGACAATCTTCTCCTACATTAACTAAAGAAAAGAAATACATTAACTATGTTCCCAGTTATTATGTATAATATTTATCTTTGGCTAAAGATATAAATATTAAATTTATGAGCTTACATCGTTGCATTTGCTTATTATACTCTGACATATTATCTGGTCTTATGGATCTTAGAAACCTAATATAGTCATCACTATGGAATTTTGTCATTTCATCTGCTGTAGCTTTATGTGGACGCTGAACAAAAGGAAAAAGTAATGAAATTGGTATAAAGTTAAATATCACTATAATATATTAGTTTAATTAGCAATTATATCAGTATTAGACATTGCAATGAAAGATATTACTAAATTAATAATTCTTACATATATTTCCATTTTTCTATAAAGACCATAATTCAAAAGTAAATTATGTGTCATCCTTATACGATGTGGCTTCATAGGATGTCCTTGTCCATAATAATAATTTCCAATGTCACCTAAAGTATAAGTTTTTTTTTTTATTTCTTGTGTTGCCTAACAAAAGCTTTAGCAAGACTGAAAAAATTATATTGAACATTTGCAACAGTTTTATTAATATAAAATGGTTTTGATTCCACATGCATGTATACAATACAATATTTCCTATAATACAGGCAACTGAAATATACTTGAAAATCTTTCGCGCATTTCATAAAAAAAAAGTGTTATCGTTTACCAATTTAATTAAACCATATAATGTTTTTTGAATTTATTAAGAACTTTAAATAAATCTCATAATTTGCCTTTGCCTAAGTTAATCCCTAATTAATATGCCTTCCAAGGTTTCTTATGATATTCTCATAACCTTCAATAAATTTCTTTCTTTGAAAAATCGACATGCTCACGTAAGAAATGTTAACATTAACAGGTGAAATTAATTTTAAAACTATAATCAATACACACAAACACATATATGCATGTTGCCTATTATACATGTGTGTATATTAATTTACTTTCTTATGTTGACTATGCATCGTTAAAATTTAATGCCTATCATTAAATGTCCGAGTTCATAGAAAATTAAAAATTTAAACTTTAATTTACGAAATTAATTGGATGTAAGAGGAAAAAGAAGAAAAGAGGAAAAAGGAAAAGGGCAAAAAAAAATGTTATCGAATGTTAAATGCACAGCAACTGTCTATATGGATTTGTGAAAAGCCGAC